AGTTAAACTACACCATAGGATGAATGCATGTGACAGATATTTACAGTGTTTCATCTAACAACGAATGCACATTTTTTCTCAGTAACACATAAAATTTTCTCCCAAAGAGACCACATTGTAAGACAAAAAACAAGTCTCAAGAGATACAAAAGAACTGAAATAATCTTTTGCCCCCTATCAGATCACAATGGAAGGAAGCGAGAAATCAACAGCAAAAGAAACTGTAGAAACCTCACAAATGCTGGGAGATTGAATAATATACTTGTGAATAACCAGTGAGTCACAGAAGAAATCAGAGAATAAACTTAAAAATTCCTAGAATAAAATGACAATGGAAATACATACAACCTTTCAGACTTCATGGCACACAATGAAAACCGTTCTAAGACAGAAGTTTGTAGCTGCAAGTGCCTACATTAGAAAAACAGAGGGAGGGCTGGGGCTATACCTCAGCAGCACAAGGGCCTGCCTAGCAAGTGCAAGGTCTTGAGTTTGATTCCTGGTACCGGGGGGAAAAAAAAAGCAGTGATCCCAAATAAATAGGCTAATGATGCATCTCAAGATTCTAGAAAAATAAGAAGAATCTAAGTTTTTAAAAAAGTGCTGTATATACATGATAAAATATTATTCAGCTATAAAAAAGAATGAAATCATGTCATTTGCAGACAAACGGGTGGATCTGGAAATAATCATGTTGAGTGGAATAAATCACACTCATAAAGTTAAACATTGCAGGGTTTCCCTTATATGAGAAACCCAAAATATACATAAATTAAGGAATGAAATAAAGAACAGGTGGAGGGAAACAGGGAGGCAGACTTTTTGGAGACCAGGAAGGGGATCAGGAGAAGGGAAGTGGTGGGAACGTAGAGGAGGGGGTAAAGGGATTAAGATAGGAAAGACACAAAGCCATTAATCTCTGAAAACGCTTCCCCTGGCATTGAACATACTTATCCCATCATTCTTGCCACTTTTCGAAGCAGCTCGGGAAGTCCTCTTTCATGTCTTTAGTTGTACTCTCGTAGTTGCCTTGATGGAACTGATTCAAAACATTTCCCTTTATGATTAGTTTGGCTTTGGGGAAAAGCCAGAAGTCACAGACCCTGTGAATGAGGTGGGTGAGGACGCACGGTCGTGTTTTTACCAACCTGCCTTTCTGTTAGGTAGGACGTGGCAGCAGCATTCACCGCATTTTGACACACCTTGTAAAGACACTCATGAAAGAGGACTTCCAGAACTGCTTCAGAAAGCGGCAAGGATGGGATAAGTGCATTTAAAGGGGGAGGGGGGAGCATTTTGAGTGGAGTATGGCAATGTGTTTTTTACTGTAATGGGTTTTTTAAAATAAACATTTACAATCTATTATGATCACTCGTATGTACCTATTCCCCCAAATCAATGTAACTATTATGTCTCACAATCATAAACTAATAAAAAATAAAATATCCAG